GGTGGATGGGTGGATGGGTGGATGGGTGGATGGATGGATGGGTGGATGGGTGGATGGATGGATGGATGGATGGATGGGTGGATGGATGGGTGGATGGATGATTAGACAGAAACTATCAGAGAAAGCTTCCTAAATGATGAGTTCTTGAGGGACAAGTATCAGACAAATAAAGCCAGGAAGAGCCAACCTAGACAAAGGGCACAGCAAGTAGAAAAGGGCTAGAGAAAGGATGCAAAGCCACGTACTGAAATTTTTGGAAAAACCACTTTGGTTGGAATGTAATCAATACACTGGAGGCAGAACATTTATAGGAATTCTATCAAGAAATGATGAAGTGCTGGGGTAGTGGCTGTGGGTATGAGTTTCAGGGTTTGAAAAGCTGTTATCAAACAGAGTCAGGGGAAGTCAGATGGACTTTTAAGTCCTGCTGTGGGCAGTGGAGTGGACGTCAGGCTCAGAGTTAGGGAGTCCAAGAAGGGAGAGATGGGGACCCCCTTCAGTTCAGGTCACACCCAATGTGTCGTGCCTTTGGGAAAACAAGATGAAAATAAAATGTCCAGTAATTCCATGCTGTGAACCTGGAACTCAGGAGAAAATCTGGGAGGTGATTCTGGACTTTTAAATATAGACCATCACCCGAGACCCCAGACAGCCCTCAACATGCAAATGTAGAAGAGCTGAGCAGAAAGAAGAGAGAAATCGAGGCAGAGAATTAGCATCAGAAGCCCTAAAAGAGTTGGGGTCAGATAAATCAAGGAAGGGGAATTCAAGGAAGGTCTGACCACAGAGCCAACTGCTGTGGTTGACAGGTCAGGCAAGATCAAGGGCAAAAGGTGTTCTCCAGGTTTGGCAACCCAGAGGTCGCTGGTATTCTTTGTCAGAGAGGTTTTCAGTGGAAGGAGTGGAACAGAAACCAAAGGACAATGGGTTGAATGGTAAATGGGAGATGAGGAAGTGAGCAGGGATGGGCCGGTCACTCCAGGGGGTGGGGCCGAGGCTCAGAGAAGAGGGCGGGTTCCTCTGTCCTTGCAAATCCAACAGTGCATTTTTACCTTACACCTCAGCTGTGTGCTCTGGTTATGTAATCTCTGTGCCTTGGTTACCTCATCTGTAAAATGGGGACTCTTCATGCCTGGTGAGAATTCAGCTGATGCATGTGAAGCACTTAGGAAAGTGGTTGGCATGTAGTAAGTGCTCAGAGATTACTGGTGCATGCTCTCTCTCTCTCTCTCTCTCTCTCTCTCTCTCTCTCTCTCTATATATATATATATATATATATATATATATATATATATATATATATATATATATACACATATATTTTTTTTTGGAGGAAAGCAATGTGAAGGGAAGGAGGAAATGTTTGAAGGGAAAATAAAGAGGAATTAGGGAAGATTTTTCTTTTTTTCCCTTTTTTTCTTTGCAGTATGTCACTGAGTTACATTCCCAGCCCCTGTCTTTTCTGGAACCTTTTTTTTCCCCCCTATACTGGATATTGAACCCAAGGACACTGTATCAGCAAGCTACATCCCCAGCATTTTTTAAAAAATTATTATTTTGAGACAAGGTCTTGCCAAGTTGCTGAGGCTGGCTTTGAACCTGTGATCCCCCTGCCTTAACTTCCCAGGTTGCTGTGATTACAGGCAGAGCTGCCGTGTCCAACCCTCATGGACCTGTCTTTCATGAGTTGGAGATATATAGAAATAAAATGTATAAATAATATATATTTGCCATATGCATTAAAAATATTTCCCAATTTGTGTTTCCTTTTTTAGTTTTCTTTAAAGATTTTTTTTTTTTTGTGATACTAGGGATTGAACC